TTATTTTGAATAATTTTTATTTATTTAATGGTGAAAACTTGGGATCTCATTTGAAAAGAAGTTTAAGCATTATAGGATTTTACAGACGATAAATGCCAAAACTGATGATTTCATCAACAAATTTAAATTTGGTCATGCCTAATATGATGATGTTGAGCATATGTCTCATCACATATAGGTCTCACAAGTTCATCTTCTTTGAATGTCTATGACTCTATATAAGAACAAATCATAAGAAATTAATAAAAAATCCTAGTAATTGAACATATTTATAAAGTATAGCACCTCCTGTGGCTTAATCCACATAGGATCCTTAAGTTCATGTCTATGCTTTTGCAAGATCACATTTTGATATGTTGTCATTTCTCTATGATTAAGATCACAAAGTTAGTAACTAATATATTTAGAAAAAAAATTAAATTAAATAGTTTTGTATAAATATACTTATGAGTGTAGTCTTCTTTATTTCGTTCCTAAGTTTGTAATAGAGGGAGCATAAAATGATAATAGTATTGCTATTAATTGAAAGAACAAACAATTGTTAGTATTCCCTGCAAAATATGATATGGGTTAAAGTAAATCCATATTGAAAAAAGTTATTAATTAAAAATTAATCCTTATGAGTGCACGTATAGGGACATAAAAAAGGTCCTTCTTGACTTCTCATGTTCTTTACTGGAGGTATTAAGCCCTTAACTTTAGAGTATTTCCTTTTTTTATCATTTGATGTAGGAAAAGGAATCCAAACCTATCACCTTTGCCTGATGTGCTATGTAACATCTTGAAAAATTATTCCCTTGATTAATTAAGCTAATGAAGGATAAATTTATAAATTTAAATATAAATGAATTTGAGAATAGTTAGAGACAGCTATTGTGTTTCAATTTAGCCATTAGATTGGGTTCAAAAATAAATTAGGCCACCTGGGCTCAAATTGAAGAAAGAAAATTAAAATTTGGCCAACTATGCATTATGTTGTAACATAATATCATGAATTTGACTTAAAAAGGGCATATGGGTGTGTGGAAAATAAAGGAAAAAGAGGAGAACGAAGGGGCTCATGATCCTCTCTACTAAGACATGATTTCACTGGTGTTTTGAGAATATTTAGAGCTTCTAATCACTAAGGTAAGCCTCCCCTACTATTCCTCTTCCTCTCTACACCACTTTTAAGTTAGGATTTGTTGTTAAAAGATGATTTTCGAACCTTGAAAGCTTTGAATCCAAACCCATTGACTTAAATAGAGTTAATAGAAGTTGTTTGAGTTATTTAAGCATAGAGATAGTGGTTTTATCCATTCATGAGAGTGGGCTCTCAATTATGGACAAATTTGTGCATTTAAATGCCATAAATGGTAGTGCTTGAGGTAGGTGTCTACCATTGATGTTGACTAAGAATTGTGGTAGTATTAGTTAGAGCTAATGAGAGTTAATAAACCTAATATGATGATTAAAATTAAGAGTTGAGAGTTTTGGATGATTAAAGTGTTTAAATTTGAGAGTTGGACGTGAGTAATTTATGACATTAATGATGATTTTAGGTTGTTGAATGATATATTAGTGATTATTTAAGCTATTGAGAGTTAAATGAAATTAATGAGAGTTAAGGAACTCATTGGATGCAAGATTGATCTTTTAGTTAAGAAATTTGGTTATTAAAATATGAAATTAAATGTTGGAAGTGGTAACTTTAATGATCATTAGTGATGGATGTTAATATAATTGTAGACTAACATCATAAAGCATTGATGAGCTTGAATTTAGCTTAGAAAGCAAGTTGTGATTGATGGCTAACCTTTGACCTCTTAAAATTTGAGGTAACTGAGTGAAACTTAGTTTATTTAGTTGGATATTAATTACTTATTGATTGAAATTGTTGTTTTGAAAACATGATAGATATTTTGAACTCTTTGATACAAATTTGGCATTTTTGAAAGTTGTGTTGAAAGGTTGTAAATAATATACGTGTTCTACATGTGTGAAATTATTTTAAAAAAAATGAAGAACCCTATACATGATGCATATATGAGATTAATGATCATGTTTGATAGCATATCATTGTGAAAATTAATGAAAATATGGTAATTGACATGTGAAATGTGATGAGTATGTGAGTAAGGATATGTTGATTCATGATATGAATGGTTGATTAGAATGCATATACATATATGATATATGTGCATAGCATGATCATTAGTGTGAGTTCGCTTAGGGAGAGAAGTAGTTGATTAAACCCATATGGTATTGCCAGTAACAGTTAAAATTAGGAAGCAACCCTTGTCGCATGGTTGATTCAAGACTATCCTACTTGTTTTATGAGGGACTCGAATCTAACTAGTCTCCATCAATTCATGAGAAGGCTAGACTAGGGGTACGACATCCCATGATTATTAGTATTAGGAGAAATCGAATTATACAAGTGAGTGAGTTGACCATGGCATGGTAACTCCTTATAAGTAGAAGACTGAGTTAGTCTGTGAAGGATGTAGCCATCAAATAGCCACCGCACTAGTATAAAATATAAAATTTATACTCCCATATCTACACTGATTATTGTGCCTATAGTGTAGAAATCAGAGGTGATGGCAATTTTGTAAATAAAATTTTTGTCCACCAATATCTACATCAGATATACTTCTAAACCAGTGTAGATAAATACATCTACACCGGTTCCAATTATACCCGGTATAGTTGCATTAATATCTATACCGGTTCCATATTAAACCGGTGTAGATATATTTAATAGTTATTTACTATATTTTTTCTTCTTTTTTTATTAACTTATCTACACCGGTTTCTTTAGAAACGGGTGTAGATGTCTTTATTTTTTTAAAAAAATAAATTTTTGAACCCATATCTACACCGGTTTCTTTAGAAACCGATGTAGATGTCTTTATTTTTTTTAAAAAAAATAAATTTCTGAACCCATATCTACACCAGGTTGCCCTATTAACCAGTGTAGATATTGCATTCTTCGCCTCTTCTGAACATCACTTTCATTTTTCAAAATATTCATCACTCGTGCCGAGAGAGTTCATCGTCTTCTAACCCTTCTCGTTCAGGTTTTGTTTCCAAATCTTTGTTACTCTGATCTTCCTCCCACTTATTTCGTTCCTTCGCTCTTCTTCCTTCAGCCTGTGCTATCATTTTGCATCGTCGGTGGCTGTGGGTTGATTGCAGCTGGTAGAGATCGTTCCCTGTGCCAAATTCTTCGAAACCCCTTTCCCTTCTCTACTAAAATCTCTTGCAATTGTTCGAGATTTGCTTTCATTCTTCTGCTGTTGAAACACTAGGGCCAAGATGTCCTTCGCCGCTGGTGACTGGTTTGGTGTGCGTGGATAAAGCTTATCCTTCCCCGTTCGTGGCTTGATTGTGAAATCCTCCCTCCTTTTCATGTTGTTATAGTTCTAAGGTCAGCAGCTTTAATCCTTTCTTTATTATTGTGGATTGAGATTAATTATTTATTGGGTGCTTGTGTTATGTCTGAAATCTTGCTTATATTGTGTTTGAAATTTTTCCCTTCTTTTCTCTGCTAATCCGTGTATAATGATAAATTATGCTACTAATTAATTTAATAACAAAGTTTTGAAGTGTACCATTCCTATGATTTGCATGGTTTTTCATTCTTGCTACTTTCTTTTTCTATATGACAATCCTCATTCCATTTTAGATGATTTTCTCTAGAAATAAGATTGCAATATAATGTCAGACAAGTAGGTTTTTGAATTTTTTTAAAATACAAAACTATTTAAAATACAAGATGATTAGTTAAGAAGTAACCTGGGGTAATGTATTGATTATTTGTTCCAATCATTTGAGGGCTTGGCCAAATTGCTATTTTTGTATTTTCATTGGAACTAAACTAGGTATTTTTACTTGATTTTGAATTTAAAGGAATTGAGTTGTGCGTATATAAATTTTATTAGGCTAGTTTATTTCCTGTGAATTAAATTGTTGTGGTGACATCATTAATAATTTATTTTCTATACGTTGGTGGAGTGCTGATAGAGGCCTAAGGCCATTAGGCTAGGCATTGCATGTGACTTTATTTTATTTAAATGATATTATTTTTTTCTTATATTTTTAATTGTAAATTTATTAAAAAGTCTAACTTTTAGGGAAACTCTGCCAAATTTTTTTAAAATTATTGTTTTGTCCCTCCTTCTTTTATAGAAAGGGCCAAAAATATAAAGCTGGCTTCTTGTTGTCCCTACTTATTAGATAGGAGGGAAGTCAATTCTAAAAAATATTCTCAAAAGATTGAAATTTCCAAATTAAATTGGAAATTATTGTGTTAGCATGCTTCTTTCTTAATTTTTTAATATATAACCCTTCGTCTGGCCCTATCATAATGGATTCAGTAATAATCCATGAACTTTGTCGTGTTTTAGGAAGACAAATTAAACATGGATCGTAGTTGGATAGATGCCAAACGAATGAGCGCAAAGTATGGTAATGGGGTTAAGGGTTTTTTGGAATTTGCTCAAAACAATGCTGAAGATGATAGTGGGAGGTTTTATTGTCCTTGTAGAGACTGTTTGAATGAGAGGCGGCTAAGTGTAAATAAGATATATGAACATTTAATTTGTGAGGGGTTTCTCAAAAGTTATAGAGTATGGATATGGCATAGTAAGAGATTGAATATACCGATGCCGAGTACATCTCAATCGCGTCATGTTGATGTTGTTGTTGATAATGATGAGGATGATACGGTTGATTGATTAGAGGACATGATTCATGACATGGGTAAAGAGGCTTTTGAGTAATCCCAAGCATACAATAATATGTACAGTGATGCAGAGACACCTTTATATCCAGGGTGCGAGGAATTTAGTTTGTTGAAAGTAATGTTGGAATTGGAGATGAACTTGAAAGCTAGATCTGGGTAGAGTGATAAGAGTTTCATAGAAATGCTTGAGTTATTCAAATTAATGCTTCTAAGAGAAAATGTATTGCTGGTTCGTTACTATAAGGCAAAGAAAATTTTATGCCCACTGGGCATGGAGTTTAAGAAAATACACGCATGCCCAAATGACTGCATATTGTACAGGAGAGAGCATAAAGAGGAGCAAAAGTGTCCTGTATGTGAAACACCAAGGTATAAAGAAAACAAAGCTCCTGCGAAGGTGTTATGGTATCTTCCAATCATTCCAAGGTTTGAACGATTGTTTGCTAATGAAAAGGATGCAAAGAATCTAAGATGGCATGCGGATGATAGGATTTCAGATGGAAAGCTTCGACATCTAGCTGATTCGGAACAATGGAAGAAAATTGACACTTTGTTTCCTGAGTTCAGCAGTGATCCAAGGAACCTCAAGCTTGGACTTAGTACAGATGGCATGAATCCTTACAGCAGCCTTAGCAGCATACATAGTTCATGGCCTATTTTGTTGGTGATTTATAACTTATCTCCCATGTTATGCATGCAACGCAAGTATATCATATTGTCTATGTTCATTTCGGGACCGAAACAACCGAGAAATGACATTGATGTTTGCCTACGACCCTTGGTCGAAGACTTAAAAAATCTGTGGGAAGTAGGTGTGGGTGTGTTTGACGTGAATCGAAAGGAGGTATTCAAGTTGCATGCAATGATCTTTTGCACCATAAATGACTTCCCTGCATATGGAAATTTGTCAGGCTACAATATTAAGGGGCATAAAGCATGTTTGATTTGTGAAGCGGGCACATGCTATCATCAACTTCATCATGGAAAGAAGACAGTCTATCTTGGCCATAGGAGGTTTCTTGAAAAGGACCACCATTATCGTAAAATGGGGAAAGCTTTCTATAGTGGTCAAGAGCATAGAACTGCCCCAAAGCCATTGACAGGGGAGCAAGTTTATGAATTGGTGAAAGACATTAATGTTACATTTGGCAAGACTATGAAGAATAGTAAAAAAAGTATATGGAAAAAAAGATCTATCTTCTTTGACCTTCCATATTGGAGCTATCTTGATATGAGACATTGTATTGATGTCATGCATGTGGAGAAGAATGTGTGTGATAGTATTGTTGGAATGTTTCTTGATATACCAGGCAAGTTCAAGGACGGTGTGAAGGCAAGATTAGATTTGGTGGACATGAAAATTAAAGAAGACTTACATCTAAGGCCGGTTGGTAAGAGGACTCACTGTCCTCCGGCTGAACATACTTTGTGCAAGGATGAGAAAAGAAGCCTTTGTTAGTGCTTACACGACATGAAAGTTCCCTCAGGGTATTCTTCAAATTTTAAAAAGCTCGTGTTGATGAAAGATTTAAAATTAGTGGGTCTCAAGTCTTATGATTGTCATGTTTTAATGCAACAACTATTAACAGTGGCTATTCGAGGCTTCTGGAAAGATGAATTGAGAGATGTCATAACTATGATTTGCTTTTTCTTTAATGCTATATATCGTAAAGTCCATGAGCTTGAAGAATTGGATGAATTAGAAAATGAAGCATATCTTATCTTATGCCAACTTGAAAAGCTCTTTCTTCCATCATTTTTTGACATTATGATACATCTAATTGTTCACCTAGTGAGGGACATAAAGTTGTGTGGCCCTGTGCATTTACGATGGATGTATCCAATTGAAAGAACAATGAAAGTTCTAAAAGGATATGTGAAGAGTCTACACCATCCTAAAGCATCCATTGTGTAAAAATATGTCTCTGAAGAAGCAGCAGAATTTTGCCAAGATTATTTAAACAATGTATGACCTATTGGGTTAAGACAATATGATGTCAAAGATCGTAGACATGGCATTTTTGTGAAGACCGTTGATCCTCATGAATTGCAACAAGCACACTTACATATCTTGAATAATGTTGATCAAGTTCAAGACTATATAGATGTGCATAAAGAACTTGTGAGGAAGCAAAACAGTCGAATTAGGATAACTAAGCAAAGATTAATTAGAGAGCATAACAATACTTTTGCAAAGTGGTTTAAGCAGAAGGTTGAAAAGGAAGATTGTGTTTCTGATATTGTTAAGGGGCTGGTACAAGGTCCTGAGTGTGATGTTATATGCTGGACTGCATTTGATATTAATGGGTATTTGTTCTACACGAAGTCTCTAGATAATAGGAGTAATGTACAGAACAGTGGTGTTACACTAGTAGCCTCAGGCATGCACTTCTCCAGCTTGAAAGACCAAAATCCTTTATTTGCATCCATGCCTTATTACAGGGTTATTGAAGAGATTTGAGAGGTTGACTATATTAAATTTAAAATCCCTATTTTCAAATGCAAGTAGTTTGATGTTAAAAATGGTTTTTATCAAGATAGGATGGGATTTACATTAGTCAACTTAAATACTTTAAGTTTTGGCGATGAACCTTTTATTATGGCAGACCAAGCGAAACAAGTGTTTTATGTCACAGATTCGAGAAGTGAAACATGGTTAGTAGTTCTTGAAGGAAAAAGAGAGGTTAATATTGATGAGAAGGATTGTTCAAATTTCAATATTTCTGAGACTCCTTCTTTTTCGATAGGCTTGCTTGTATTGAATGTAGAAGATGAATTGGATGACGAATATGGCACGAGAGATGATCATCACGAAGGGATATGGGAGAAAATTACTATTTAAAAATATGTTAAAAGTTAGTTATTTATTTACAACATGTATGATTTATTAAATTAGTTATTTATTGTGTTTTATTCATATTAGAACATGCTTTATTTATTAGTTATATCACTGATAATTTTTACTTATTGTCTAAACAAGAACATGGAGGATCAGAGTGTTAATCAAGACCAGCCTGACCTTTCTACCTCGATCGTGTCTACCAGTGGTGATGACTGTGTGACTGTTAGTCCTCAAATTACGGGTAGCAGCCAATCTATATGATCCAGGAGGCCTAGAAGTGGCATGCGATTAAGAGAGTTAGCTTTAAGTCAGAGCAGAGGTGAGAAGATTTCGATCAAGTTTGATAACAATTGAAAGCCAATCGGGCCTAATGGGGCTAAGTTTACTAGTTTTTTAGGCCTCTAAGCTCGTAGCAAGCCAAGTATATTAGCATTCACATAGGATGATGTCCCAGAACGAGTGAAGGAACAGATATGGGAAGCCATCAATGTATGATAAATGTGCTTTTATCACTTGTTATCATTATTTGTTACTGATTATTATGAAATTATCACTAACTATTGCAATGACATGTATTGCAGGTCATATACGATGTCCCCATGAGTATAGACTTTAAGCATAGGTTGATGACCTGGGCTTGTGATTGTTGGAGGGGTTTCAAGACATCACTAGCTAAAAGATTTGTGTATATTGAGGTGCCAGAAGGACAGCCATGGCCTAATCCTTATACCCAATACACATTTCTCGATGCAACTACTTTTGAAGAATTCATTAGGCTTCGGACTACACCAAATGCTCTAGTGAGTTAGATTATTTTAATTTATTTTTTTATTTATTTTAGTTCTATATCATTGTCTTTATTAGACAACGAATATTTTGTAATTCTAATTCACAGGAAAAGAGGAGAAAGGCACAAGAAGTTGGAAGGAAGAACAATTGCCCCCAAACAAAGTCTCGTGGCGGTTATGTGTTGGCCGATAAGGAATTGATGGATGCCAAGAGGAGGAAGAAAGAAGAACAAGCTCAATCAGATCCTTCTATTCTTCTGTCTCCACCATCTCCAATATGTCGCGATGAGAGATGGATTTATGCCCACAAGAAGAAGGATGGGTCCTTTTCAAGTGAGCATGCTCGTGAGGTCACTTAGAAAATTGTAAGTACAACTGTTATTTGTAATCTTATTTTAAATATCAAACATTACTAATTAATTATTATTTGTATGTTACAGGATGAGCTTAAACAGAAGCAATCCGAGGGATCATTCATCCCAGAGGGAAGAAATGATATCCTGGCTGTTGCTATGGGAAAAGGAGAGCATCCTAGATGTGTTCGGGGATTTAGATTAGGGGTGAGTATAAGAGATGTATTTGGACCACCTCAAAAATGCCATTCTTCAGGACTCGTGACTAGGGAGGAGTTGGATGTGATGTTAGCTCAATCAAGGGCTGAGGCTGAGGCTACTCTTGAAGCTAGGCTACAAAAGATGAAGGAAGAAATGATAATGATGATGAGCTCTATTAAGGAGCCAAGTGGCCTACAGACTCACTCCCCTGCTTGTCATCCAATTACTAAAGGGAGCAATATTGTTCCACTTCCTTCAGAGGATGACCTTGTTCCAGAGGATGAACTATGCTACTTGTATGTGGATGATCCAGAAAGACGCTTAGTAGCACACGATTACATCCATGAGGGGTCAAAATGCCACTTTCAGGAAGTTCAAGAAGATGTTGTCAAGGTCACTATGGAAGAGGTAAAAATTGATGATGCTTCTTTCCCATTCCCCACTGATGAGATCAAGATAGTGAAAGATGCCAAGGGCACTTTTTGCTTATGGCCAAAAAGACTTGTTGGGAAGCCTCAGGATCCAGTAACAAATTTTATTAATTAATTGTAATGAATTCTTTATATTTAAGAATGTGTTACTAATTTTTTTATTTAACAGGAAACCCCATCGTCTCATAAAGTGGGTCAAAAGCCACAATTATTCGAGCTAAGTCTATGGGGTCGATTTGTATTGATGGCATATAGTGGATTATTTCTACCTTAGTGTTTTAAAGCGAATTCTGATCTTGCTGGCTTAAACAACTATGAAATCTTTGTTGAGAATGAGGACCTCTGTCGGATTCTCATTAATACTGACCTAACCATGGCGAACATCCAAATTAGGATGATGTAAGTGTCTTCTTGTAAATTTAAATGAAATTAAATAATTCAGCTTTTCAAACTAACTTGTTTTAATTTTTGTAGGTTTTTGCATCAATTGCTAGTTTCCTCGGGTAAAGACAAACAATATGAATTTCTTTGCCTACGTTACACTAATGATAAAAAGACCACCAAAGAGGCAAAAGAGGCATATATGAACTAAAGGCTGAGTGAAGGCAGAAAGAAGTGTTATTTTTCCATGTTTCTCAATCTGTAAGTAAATATATTTGAATTTATTCATAATGGTATCAAATATTTACTTAAATGACTTTTTTTGCAGTACACACTGGCAATTGATAGTGTTTTTGATGAAGAGAAATTTTATAATCTTTTTATGCTTTTTGCATCGTAAACTCAATCCGGCAATGAAGAAATCTTGCGAGCAGTAAGTGTGCTTAAGGAGTCTTATAATAAAATTTTTTAGTGATTAAGTTACTAACTATGTCATGTTAATGATAGGGCTATAAGGATTGGCCAGCAAGTCCGATTGGGCAAGGCCCCATGTGATGTCAAGGATCCTACATGGATAACACCAAAGGTAACAAGTTATACATGTTTTTATTTTATGTAATTTTAATGATAGAGCCTTCTTTTAGTATAATTATGACAATGTTGTGTTATTCCATAGAGCCATCGGCAACCCCCTACTAATTTGTGCGGCTTTTATGTGTTGAGACATGCATACAATATCATCACCACTGGCTTGACTGAGTTCACTAAGGAGGTAAATGTAATTTTAGATATTATTTATTTTTTCTTCTAATATAATTATTGATTTAATTCCCTTATCCCCAATCTTTTCAGATGTTCAATGATCCATCTCCATTTTCAGATTCAGAGATCCATCAAATAAGGCAACATTGGGAACTCTTCATGTTCGATCTTCATAATAATCATCCTTTGGAAGAGTGAACTATGTAGTTGTAAACATTAGTAAATATAGTTGTGTGTAGGATTACTTAATTGGCAATTTATGTTTTATGGGTTTGGAATTGTACATAATTTTAAATTCATTTGATTTGAACAATATATGATTGTCTGGCTGGTTGATTGTTATTTGGCTATTATATGTTTGATTCATGCAGGATTTGAATTGCAGCCTATAACGGTTGGGGTAAATGAAAAAAAATGGAAAAATTTTTACTTAGAAAACAAATATCTACACCGGTTATAGATATAACAAGTATAGATATATTATTATCTACACCGGTTCAACGAATAACCAATGTAGATAATAATATATCTACACCTGTTATAACAATAACCAGTGTAGATATATAGGTTATCTACACCAGTTTAGGCAATGATTGGTGTAGATATATGATTATCTACACCCGTTATACCAGAACCGGTGTAGATATCAACTTTTAAAAAAATTACATATATATTCATAATTAATGTTATCTACACTGAATTTATAACCAGTGTAGATATATTCGTTAACTACAACAGTTAAATAACTGGTGTAGATAACTTCATGATATCTATACCTGTTACTAAACCGGTGTAGATAAACTATTTTAACTGATGTAGGTTTGCCTGTGTGTACTAGTGCTGATTTCATGTCGAATGTAACATAAGTATATAAGGTTGGCATATAATTATGCATTTAGTTTCGATCACATGGTTATTCATATTATAGTTCGGTGTAGTTTAGGGGCACATGGTTGGTATTATTGCAACCTTAGGTTGTGCATTATTATTATATATATGATTATGTATTCAAAACCTGATCATATTATTATTATTGTTGTGGCTGAGACTATATATTGTCATACATGTTGGTAATTCATTTAGGTTATTCCCGTAATTACCTCGAATTGTGGAGTTAATTGTGAATTAGTAAGGGAGACCTTACATGATGCGTAAATGATGGAGGTACTTATAATAATGCAATCATGTTAGTTCACTAAAATTGTTAATTAAGTTAATTATATTAAAGAAATACATACTTACATCATAAATATTTCAATGTGTGGTGTGGAAAGCTAAATATTTGACAGAAGTTGAAGCAAATCCTCCAATTCAATCATCACTACTTTTTCTTTCTTACCCACAACCTCCAAATCTATTTTTAAATCTTTGAATTTAAATGATGAATCATATTCCAATAAGATCATTTGATGGTGCAAAGTCAAAAAGGGTTTTGAAAATTTCGGGAGATTTAGTGAGGGAAGTTGCTACACAATAAAAAGGCAAGAAATAATTAGTAAAAAACACATGATAGGAAAGTTTCTATATAATAAAAATGTATGAAATTTCATACCACATATTAAACCATATTTATAAGTCTCTTAGACCACAGGATATAATTTTCAATAACTTCAATCATAATCCTCACCTTATTAGTAGGGAATAGGACTAATGTGTCTGAAACTTTTTGATCTTTAACTACTACTCTCACTTGATAATCTTGA